ATAGTTGGGTCATTTTCTTGGATTGCTCAACTGAGCTAGCCTAAGGTAGGATGTTGGGCCTGATTGGCTAGTAGGTTTGGATCATGGATCGGGATAGTTTGCAGAGTTGAGCCAGGCGTCTTAACTAGGTTAAATGCTCCAGCTGAGCTCCAGAGTAAGGCGGGATTAGTCTTAGTGCAGAAATGGGGTTCGACCAGGAATGAATAGGTTGAGCTAGGTTGAACGATTGTTTTTTCCACAATCGAGCTAAGTACTTCAACCACACTTCAAAGTCGAGTGAGATTAGCCTTGGTGAATGGATGTAGTTCGACCGGGCTAGAGGTAGCTGACTAAGCATCTCGAATTCAGACCAAGTAGGGATAGCTCAGTCCCAAAGGTTGATCGACATCAAACCGTGCTGTGGATAGCTCAGTAGGCATATGCTATGTGGCCTAATTTGAATGTTGGGAAGAAAATCCACCAGTAATACGCGTCAATACCATTTGGATGTTTTGCTAATATTGTTTGGCAATTTTTACGCAAACACGTGTAAGGTAATGAGAGGATAGTACATCCAACGAGTAAGGTAGTGCGCGGACAAACTATATAAGTCCAGCCATGCCTCCATGCAAAAGGTTTGCAATTTCTTACTTTAAGCTATCCTTACTCCTTTATTTTATCTCTAAAGATGCTAACTTGACAGTCGGAAGGGTTTTTCTGCAACACACCCACCGGGTAGCTTACTATCATTGTGTTTTCAGGCTACATGACGTCATTCAGAGCAACACAGAACTTGGTTGCAAGGAGTGCAAAAGTAAAGAATATTTACTCCCCGTACAATTACACCCAAACTTTAATTTTATTTATTTTTTTCACAACTCTCAAGGTATCATGTGAAATTTTTTGTATGATAATCCAAACCAATAGCATAATGAAATTTTTTACAAATAAGATATAGTGACTCACATTTATTAAATAATTAAAAAATAAAAATTCACCCATGCTAAATGAGTTGCGAGTTTTATTGGTTAAAAACACTAGTGTTGGTTCATTTTTCCTACAAAGGAAAATATCATAAATGCAAATGTGCCAGCAAGGATTGAAAAATCCTTACAGATTAAATTCAAATCAATTATCAAGTAATTGTGTTGACGGTTCTTTTGCCTCAATGAAGATGACTTCAAAATTGCCAAGTGTAGAGAAAAGAAAAATTAAAAGAATAATAAGAGAGACAGAGAAAGATGATTGAGTGAACAATCACGGTGATTGAGTGAACAATCAAACTAACCATTAATTTACCTCTACTCCTATGCTTCGAAAGGAAGTGCATAAAATAAAGTGCAGGAAATATAAGTGACAAGAAAAATAGAAATCAATTGTATTTGATTTGAGTTCTCGATTCCCTACAATGTAGCCATTGATGGCTATTTATAGAGGAAACAATACAGCAATAACTACTTAGTAACTACCCATTTCTCCCATCTTCATCCTTATCTTACCACGGGTCTTTCCACTAATCTATTTTGTACTTCGTGTTCTCCATCATCTCCATAACTTCTTTTAACTTCTAAATGAATAAGAGGATGCCACGTGTCCTAAAAATAATAACAATACTAATACTAATACTAATAATAATATTTTATGGTGCTAACATTACCCCCGCGGCCATTAAAAATGATGTTTACTTGAATTTTTGAAAGGCCGAACCAAGTACGTGACTAATCTAAGAAACAAAATGCTTCGAATAATATCAACGAAGTGTTTCGAATGATATAATAGCACCAAATGTTCACAACTTTGTTAGTTAAATGCAAGAACCATTGTTTGACTACAACCAAAGCACGCATACTGTCATTATTTTGTGCCTTTTGTGCCTTAAAAAAAAATGGCCATCAATTTGAAAAGATAAGTCATTCTCAACCACTGATTTAAATGCATAGTCTTTTCCTAGCCAAGTTCAACATTTCAAATGGCTAAGTTGTTCTTTAGTGCATCAAACTCATCAAAACAATGTTTAAAGATGATTGTTTTATTAGCCATTTCTTCAAAATTAAATTTTGATGTGAACCACAAATCCAAAAAGAATTTTGAACACCAAGAATGATAGTACATGATGCCCTTAAAAATTCAAACAACTTGACATTTTGAATAATTTCAAAAAAATTCAGATTCATAAACATTAAATTGTTCATTATTCTTAGCCATGGTTGGCTTGAGAAAATGTTCTTTTGCCAAATAAATTTCATCATTTGGTTATTTAAAAATGAGTTTTTTGAGCTCCCTATCTATTGATGAAATCAACTCTTTGCTTTTGCTATTTTCAACCATGGAAAAATTCTACAAAAAATTCACCAATTCCGGCCATTAAAGCCTCAGTTAAAGACTTTGAAAAATCTAAAAATTCCCTAGATATTGATTTATGATTATTTATCAATTTTAATTAATATATAGCAATCCCAATCAAACAATCAAAGACAAATCAACACAACGATTTTACATGATAACCCTTTAAATGTGGGATGCATTAAAGGCTTGCAATAAATGCCTCGTGCCTTGAGGAGTGCTATGAGTTAACTAGTTTGAAGATGATTGGTGTACCAGTCCTGCTATGTGTACAGAAGAATTAGATACAAAATATATTAATGTATGATAAATTGTTCGTATTTGTTATTACGAATATGTTTGTATCTATGGTTATAAATATTTGTCTCACATCTATATCTTCTGTTCGATTTCTTCTATATACATAAATATTTTATTGATATAATTTATGAAACTATTTGTAAGTTATTTTAATTTTTATTTTTAAGACATAATAATTAACTTAGTGATTTATATAATTGTCATTTATTTAAAGTCGATGGAGCGACTGCAACTTTTTATTATAATTTAATTTATTAACTCATTAATATCTTATCATTTGTCAAAAAAAACAAAAATTAAAAATTAAATAAAATTTGTATCATAGTAATTATTGTAATTTTTGGTTACATTTTATTCGGTAAAAATAATTTCAATAAATTAATTTATTTTACTAAGAATAAAATACATAAAAGGGTTTTGATTATCAACCTTGGAACAAATTACATTGTGAATGAGAAGACAACCAAAACTTCAAAATTACAAACTTAAATTACTTTTCAAAATTTGTTTCATAAATAATTTTTTTCCCCAAACAATTAATTTTTAATAATATTACAAACTTTGACTTAACTAATCAAAAATTATTTAGAATTATCATCTTGTAATTCATATTTACGTATAAACTCTATACCACACAAATTCAATTACCATCACAAAATCTCATTCAAGATAAATAAGAATAGGTACATAGAATTATTCATCAATTTTAAATATCTTGAACTTATTAGTACATGTATCATGAACTTTACAGAACAGTTATTAGACCAGCAATAAGATGAGTGTTGCTGTGATGAGGATACTAAGGTGAATGTATAGCAAGATAAAGTTAGGAATAATATATTTGAGAATAGATAGGAGTAATACCGATAAAAGATAAGTTAAGAGGTAATAGATTAAAATGGTTTGATCATATACAACGAAAATCAATAGAGGCCGTAATAAAAAGATGCGATGGTAGTGCTAGAGTCATGAACTAGTGTAGTAAATAAAAATATAAATTTCTTTAACTTGACTGATAAAATGGCATTGAATAAAATCGAGTAGAGAAAAAAATTAATGCAATCAATTCTATTTAATAAAACTTAAGGCTTGACTGGATTGGTTTGATTTCTGTATCATGAAATCAAACAAAAAGATATAGCATCATTGATTTATGTATCATGAAATTAAACAAAAAAAAAGTTCATTAGTTGTCCTTAGATATAGCATCATACTCTACAGTATGTATGTATCCAATACACAGACAAGAGAGAGAGAGAGAGAGAGAGAGAGGCCCATTCCAATCCAATTCTCATGTCGTCTCCTCTGATCGAAATCACCAATGCCTTCTTCTTCTTCTCTCTCTCTTTAGGGTTTTCTCTCTCTAAAAACTAGATCACCTTCTTCTTCTTCTTCTTCTTCTTCTTCTTCAATTCACAGCAATGGCGAAGAAAAAGGCTTCTAAGAGGAAGAAGAAAGAGAAAGTACACGAAATTGATCACATACCTAAGTTTTGGCAGCAACCTAGAAGCACTGGAGGACCAAGACGACGCACGGACTTCTCTCTCTTCTTCTGCTCTACTTCTTCTTCTTTCTCCAATGCTCCTCTCGGTAAAGGTATATCTATCTCTCTCTCTTTGTTCCCAATTAGAATTTTGATAATTTGATGTATTTTAAATTATGTATAAATGTGCTATTGTGTAATCACATTAATCCCAATTGATGTGAATTCTCTATGCTTATTTGCATTGAGATTGTTTGTTCATCCTATTGTTGCTTTAATTGCCGAAAATTTAGTTAATTGTTTTTGGTTTGGACGATTTCTGATGAATTGCTTGAGCTTTCTCTATGGGAATATTGATCTTGATTGTGATGCAAAGTTCGGTGATTCTCTGTAAATTCATGTACACTATGTTTGTAAAATTAGTCATCTCTGGAAGTTCACTCTTTAATCTCTATGTAGTTTTTATTTTGACAAAAATATGAACCAGTTTTTGAATTATGGTTTAATTAAAACCTGCTGTTATGAAGAATGAATAATGCCCCTGCTCTCATGAGTCATATCCCCAGTTTAAGGTGAATACACAATGAAATCTATTGAAAATTCATATGCCAAAGATTAATGTTTAGGTAAATTAGAAAGAAATAGGATTTCTGGTGAAATATCTTTATATGACTTAATAGATTGGGGTGTTTCTATAAATGTTAAAATAAAAAATAAAATAAAAAAGTGGTTTTTTTTCATTGCTAAGAAAAAATGGTTTACGAAAATTCGAAAAATAAATCCTAAAAAGTGGGTTTTGTTCATTACAAAAATTTAATTAAATCAAAAACAATTCACCAACCAACCTTTTTATATTTGTTCAAAAAACAAAACACCAACCTTTTTACCTGTTTTCTGAAAATGACATTATGTGTCCGAGCGTCTCTGATTCTAAAGGCATGACGAAAACATCTCCGCTGGCGTATGCTTGAGAGAGCTCTTCACCTCCTAACATCCCTGTGAATACGACAGGCATGCCGGAGAACAGCTTTTCCAGATCCTCCCTGCCACGAAGAAATCATTCTAGATGAATAAATTTTTCCCATGGTTCTTACTGGAAAATAAATTCAGGTGATCATCATGGCCCAATTTGTGTATCATTGGATGTAAGCAAAAATATAAAAATAAATAATTCATTTCGTTAGACAGCGGTTTGTGGTTTTTAATACAAAGGATCATTTTATACTATATTCTATAGAGATTGTTCCGGCAATGTTGACAAAACTAAACAACCAATAAGTCCTTAGAGAAATACCTGTATGGTCCATCTCCAATAAAAGCAATTCGTGCCTCAGGTATCTGGTCCATGACACTGTTGAATCATACATCCCAAATGTCAATGGTTACAACTTATAATAATTATGAAAAAAGCATTATTCCGTCAATATTTTGCAAGTAATATTTCCTAAATTGCAAAAGCAGAAAATACTTATCATTTGAAATAAAAGAGCAGTGCCTTTTGAGTAAATCCAAACTCTTCTCAACTCCTAGTCGTCCAACATGGACTATCAATGGTCTCTCGAGCTCTCCATTATTGATTAAAAAAAGAACAATATTTGGAGGAAACTCATATTACATGGCAAAAAAAGATTTGTGCGCCAATATGAGAGGTTTTTTAGGTTTGAGTTTATGAAGAGATGTTGACTTACATTGTAACTTAACTCTTAACATATTAACTGCTATAAAAGAGATCGAGAAACTAACCCAATTTCAATTGTCATAACATGCTTGCGCCTCTTTCCTAAAACTATAATGCACAACCATGGCCACATATTTTTGTATGAATTAGTTCAATTACTCTAATCATTGGAAGATGAAACTCAGTACATGATCCCATATTATGGCTGCAGTACACATTGATATAGTGTCAAAACTGACTTCTGTTTTTTTGTTTTTTTATTTATTTTTTAAAGAATAGGGAATCCAACAATAAGATAAAGGAAAATGATATACAATAGCACTACTCTAAGATAAGTAGAAGTATCTCAAATTCAAAAATAATTACATTCTATTCTTAAGTTTAAAAGCTAATCTCATACAGGCCTTGCTAGTCTCACAGCATGTTATGTAACTTAATTATACTTGACCCTCCAAACTTCTCATGTTTTACTCATAAGTTTTGCTAAGACTTCAAATATCACTCATAAATTCATCTACAATGACGTGTGACAGTGACTGTTGTTTGATTCTTGAACAAATCAATAATTAATCTGTAACGATTCGCATCATTTAAGTTAAACTTAGGAATGAGATTTTAGGGATCTCAATCTTTTAAGGATTAAAAGAAAGCCATACCTTAGTCTTATTCACATTTCTTGAGAGCGATATTTGGGATGGAAGCTTTTGGAATCAACACCCTTATTCCAGAGACGAATCTTATTACCTGAAAATAAACAAAGAATTAACATGGATATGAGCTGCTATTTTCAGAGAAACATTTGTAAAAAAATAAAATAAAAATTCAAGCAGAAGCATAAATGTCAAATTCTGTTATGTGATCAATGTGAAATTTTAGAGAGTTATCTATTGGGCGATGTTCATTTACCTGCTGTTACCCTAGCTGCTTCAAGCTCCTTTGCAAGGGCAGCTGATGGAACCAGTACACATTGATATAGTGTCAAAACTGACTTCTGTTTTTTTGTTTTTTTATTTATTTTTTAAAGAAAAGGGAAACCAACAACAAGATAAAGGAAAATGATATACAATAGCACTACTCTAAGATAAGTAGAAGTATCTCAAATTCAAAAATAATTACATTCTATTCTTAAGTTTAAAAGCTAATCTCATACAGGCCTTGCTAGTACTTGACCCTCCAAACTTCTCATGTTTTACTCATAAGTTTTGCTAAGACTTCAAATATCACTCATAAATTCATCTACAATGACGTGTGACAGTGATTGTTGTTTGATTCTTGAACAAATCAATAATTAATCTGTAACCATCCGCATCATTTAGGTTAAACTTAGGAATGAGATTTTAGGGATCTCAATCTTTTAAGGATTGAAAGAAAGCCATACCTTAGTCTTATTCACATTTCTTGAGAGCGATATTTGGGATGGAAGCTTTCGGAATCAACACCCTTATTCCAGAGAAAAATCTTGTTACCTGAAAATAAACAAAGAAGTAACATGGATATGAGCTACTATTTTCAAAGAAACATTTGAAAAAAATAAAAATAAAAATTCAAGCAGAAGCATAAATGTCAAATTCTGTTATGTGATCAATGTGAAATTTCAGAGAATTATCTATTGGGCGATGTTCATTTACCTGCTGTTACCCTAGCTGCTTCAAGCTCCTTTGCAAGGGCAGCTGATGAAACCAGTGTAAGATCAGCTGCCCTATGAAGAAACTCTGTTAAGAAAAGAACAAAACTTTCATTTATTAGTTCACAAACACGAAAAGTCAGAATCCATGTGAAATTGAGGCTAGAAACAAAAGTTCACGTACTTATGACCCACCACATAGGTTTGACCAGCTAACTAAAGGTGTATCTTGGTATGTATGTGCAAGTCAAAACAGGAATCGGGCTCAACCCTTGTGGGGTGGCAAGCACACTGTGCAATTCCCAAAGATGATATGAAAAAAATTTATTGATACAAAGAAATTTTATTTGATAAAATTTGATATGTATCAGCAGATTTTATTTTATAACAAATCAAATGTTGATCAGAAATAAAAACTACATAGAGATTAAAGAGTGAACTTCGAAAGATGGCTAATTTTACAAACATAGTGTACATGAATTTACAGAGATACTATGTTACTTCGCATCAGAGAATTATCTATTGGGCGATGTTCATTTACCTGCTGTTACCCTAGCTACTTCAAGCTCCTTTGCAAGGGCAGCTGATGAAACCAGTGTAAGATC